GTAGTTAACTCGTCCCAGTGATACATACGAGCACATTCATTTACTTTATTTAGCCAGTCAGTAACATTTTGGTTATCATCGCTTGGATCAAAATCAGATAATAATCTGTCATCTTTATAAAGTGTCCAATTTGGTCTTTGTACGATTTTATCAGCAAAAAATGAGCCTGCACTTACCACCTCACGCAAATGGTGTATCTGTTTTTGCATGTGTTCCACTGTCAATGGCGGTGTGTGGGACCTTTGTGACAGCTCTACATCAGAGGTATGCACCATGGCTCTGGAGGTACTGGGTGTTGGGGTTGATAATGCTTCACTGTGTCTATTCATGATTCACAACAAAACTAAGTCACTGATATCGTCACTTATTTTTGATATTGTTTATTTAACGTTTGTATTTGTTCTTTATCCCACTTCTGAGATGTAAGAAAATTAAATACTAAACAATTAAAGTAAAAACTGGTAATATAATAGGTGAAGAGTAATTCACAGCGTGTTAACATGTTAACAGTATATTAATGAATGTCTGTCTCAGGAGTATTCTGTCCGCTTCCAAATCACAATGTTTATATTGAAATAGCGCCTATTCATTACTTATAACCCAAACAAAGTCGTCTAAGGCTGGCCGGCTATGTTGAAATTCCAAACGTTAATCTTGTATCGCTTACACATTTTTATACAGTTTTCATTTATGTTTATGGGCAAAAGTATGTAGATGTGAATTAATCTGTACATTTGCTTCTCTCAGTTTTCTTTTACATCCAAACTCTTAAATAAGCATAAACCTGCGAACGCGCACAGCACGCCCTGATACATAATTTAAATCTCGAGGATCAAGTGAAGTGAGGAATTAAGTGAAAGCAAACTGTTCAGCGCTCAACTGAATGGGCCTTTGTTTAACATCCATCTCGGCATTCCGTAAAGGAACTCTAATTTAATCTCGAAATAAATTTAAAATTTATTGGTTCCGCTGCACCTCGTCACCCCGGAATTTGTTCTTTACTGGCTGACGGCGCGAAGTGCCGTTTTGGACCCGCTCCAGAACGAGCCGTTTGTGTTCCGGCAAGTTCATTTGGCCCCGGCGATTTTGTCATTGCGAGCAAAAGGAGATAAGGTAGATTGGTTGGTTGTTAGGTTGCGCAGCCACTTTGAGGCTCGCAATCGACAGAAATTAGTTCCGGTAATTGCAATTAGCGCGATTGTGTGCATAGGAATTTTATTTTATGGTCGTTTTACAATAGTTACGGCAGAAATAGTACACTGATAAAAATTTTATGTAAAATTACATACTAGATCATTGGTCATTTGAGTTACATTAATGTAATGCATTTTGCAATTTTTGTGTAATTCACCCAAAATACAGGGTGTTTTTGAATGGAGTAGCATAAATGATACCAGTGAATCTACATTTCAAAAGAACACGATCTGCAAAAAATCGCCTTAGTAAAATGTTCACCCCTGAAGAGATATGGGCCATCAAAGTTTCCAAAAAAATTATGAAAATTGGCTGTAATTTGAAAACCGAACGAGGTACAAATAACAAATTTTTACAGGTTGTTTACTAATACAGATGCGAGTTTTCAACTATTTTTCGAAAATTTTAACCCCTCGAAAGGGGTTGAAATAACCACCCCTCAAGCCATTTTTTGCCATAACTTTTATATTTCGTAAAAACTCGATATCCAAAAATACGCATTAGATAAACTGGTTCTTTTAGAAACTTTTACCTCTCTAGCAATTTTCCTTTAAAACTTTTCGTTTATTAATAAAAAAATAAAATGTATTACCATTCACCTCACACCGTATANTATAGAGAATTAAAAGCCCTTTCTAATGACCCCCCACTTGAACCCCATTCCCATTTGAAAAAAATTTGGGGATAGCCCCCCACTTAGGGGGTTGAAGATTTTGGTATGCTTTTTGAGCCAAAAGTTGTCCCCCTCAGAAACAAATTTGACCTGTTTTTGGATTTTGCCGAAAAGTTCTTTACTACCCTGTAATGCCTTACGGTACGTTTTCGATGGGCTACCCTGTATATGAATGTTTGAAAAGAGAAAATAGTGAACAATGTGATAAAGAAATTAGGAAACGGATTAGCGAATTAACTCAAATATCAAAAACGTCAATTTATCGCATAATTAAAGAAGGGGGCGTTATTAATCACGGTAACGGAAAAATACAAATTAAAATTGTCGAGATTCTTGAGTTTTCACGTTATTGTTTTTGTGATCACCC